CGACCATGACCGTCTCGAGTTGGGACCACATGGACACGATCCATTCCAACATGGGCAAGATCGTAAAGCAGCCAGATCAGTCCCGCGTTCAGGTAATACCGCATGAGGACGAGCGAGACGGAAACGACAAGCAGCAAGCGCGCACTGGGTAGTTGGATCCGCAGCGAGAACCACTACGTGATCACTTGGGCGGCGAACGACGCTGCATTGTTCCCGTCTACGTTTCGAAAGTGCATGCGCTGGAAGCGGCGCACTTGCTTTTGACCGAACGCGCGGATCACGAGCGCGCCTTCGATCGATTCCGAGAACAAATTGAGCAGCGGCGACTTGGTTGTCTTGTTCACGTGCTCCATTTCGCGCGCTGGATGGATGTAAAACATTCCGATGAACTTGTACAGGTAAAGCAGGGGAAGGATGAGCAGCCCGAACGACCTGACCACGTACAACGTCGTGGCAAGCGCAAAGACCGCGCTAAAGATGAACGCGAGCAACCCGCTAATGTTGAACGGGATCGCCGTGTCGACTGTGTTGATGTCGTTCGAGTACCGGTTCAGGATGCGGCCGAGGGGGTTTGTGTCGAAGAACTGCATGGGGGCGCGCATGAGGGAAGCTGTCATGCGGTCAAAGAGCTGCCGCGACGCACGAACGCCACACGAGTAGATGGAGAGCGTGCGCACCACCGTCATGAAGATGCCTCCAAAAGTCAAGGCCGTGTACACGGTGAGGTAGGACCCCGCTTGATGGAGGAACTCGTCGGGCGTGACGACGTCGGCCGACGCGCTCCACGTGCTCAACCAAAGTCGCTCGACACTGACAGAACTTGCCATCCCCCCAAAAGCGACACCCACACGACGAGCATTTTCCACGCGCCGATGGCCGTCAGGTACGAGTCGAACACTTTGGACGAGACCCGCGACCGTCCTTCTTCTTGGATGAGTTTGCCGCTGGATGGGTCGTCGTACGCTAAGCCTGCGCTAGCATCGTCGTGGTACGGCGTAAATGGGACTCCTTCAAAGTGTTGTGGGAACGGCGTCGCGGCGGATGGAGTGAGGAGCAAGTCCCATCGCTCGGTGCTGACCTCGTCCATCGACAATGGAGACGCGTCGTCGTCGCGATAGCCTCGGCGACCCACGAGCGAGTTGACCAAAATGGGCTGGTCGGCCTTGTCGCAGTTGGCGACCGTGGCTTCGATGACTTGTCCGTTCTTGACTTCAATCGTGCGGTCGATGCACTTGGACGCGATGATCTCGGGGGAATGGACGATCGTCTTGTGGCGCAACAGACCGAGAAAGCACTTGGTGAAGATCTCGTTCTGCACGATCGCGTCGACGGCCGACAGCGGCGAGTCCAAGATGAAAATGTCGGCGTCGCTGTAGCACGCCCGCGCCAGACTGATGCGCGCCTTTTGCCCGCCAGACAAGTTCACCCCCTTCTGGCCGATCTCGGTCCGGTCGCCGGCCGCAAACAGCGCCAGGTCCTTCGTCAGCGCACACGCTTCCAACACGTTGGCGTACTTGACGCGGTCGTATGGCTTTCCAAACAAAATGTTTTCCCGAATCGTCATGTTTTGGATCCACGCTTGCTGCGAAAAGTACGCGACGCGGCCGCCCACAAACACCGTGCCTTCGTACTTGTCCATTTCGCCGAGCAGTGCCGCGCACAGCGACGACTTGCCTTCGCCGACCGACCCATGGACCACGACAAACTCGCCGCGCTGGACGGTCAAGTTGACGTCCGTGAAGAGCGGCTTGGCGGCGTCCCACCCAAAGCTGCACTTGTCCATGCACACATCTACATTGTGTCGGGCGTACGCGCTCAGCAGATCGTCGGGGGCGGTGTGGGGCGTCAGCACCATGTGCGACTTTTTCTCGTCCATTTGCAGAAACTCCATGATGCGGCGGAGGGCCACCAGCGCCTGCATCATGCTCGCAATGATACTGGGTAGCTGTATAAGGGGAATCTTGAGCAGGTTGAACAGCGTGAGCGCCGTGAAGACTTTAGTCGCATTCAGCGGTTGCCACATCACCGTCGTGTACGTGGCGAACGAAACTACGCTGACGAGTACGGGGGCCGAGTACAGGCACCCTGTCATCGCGCTCGATAGAATGAAGATTCGCCACAGCGACTTGAGCTGGCGGTCCCGGTCCGCGGTGATTTTGTCTTGAAACTTGTTTTCCCACGCGGTCAGCTTGATGATTTGCATGGCACCAAACACTTCGTTGACCGACTTCATGCGGGCGTCTTTCCGCGTCATGAGCTCCCGGAACGCATTGCGCTGGGCGGTGGCGTGTTGAGAACAAGCGTGACCAGGATGACGCCGGCCCCGACAAAGGTTGCCCACCCGATCACGTTGTACAGCATGTATACAACGTGATCGTAACTTGGATGAGCCACAGTTGGTTGGCAAAGATTGAAAAGTTGATGATCGTTTGGATGTCGGTGGAAAACATGTTGGCAATGTCGCCGGCCGCCTTTTCACGGCGGCACTTGGCGTCCAGGACCAGCGACTTGCGAAAGAGCAAATGCTGCAGCGCTGACGTGATCTGGACGGTCACCAGCTGGTTCTGGAACGTCGAGTGCGCCGTGATCAGCGCCTGCGCAACATTGACCAAGAAGAGCGATGCGATCGAGACCAAGACCGCCTTCGTGTTGAACGACTCGGACTCGAGGGCCGACAGGACCTGCTTTCAGGACGATCGGCCCATACAACGTGCACCCGACCGTGACCACCTGCATGGTGCCGATGACTGCGAAGCGCCACCCGTACGATGCGAAGATTGCGCAGACAATCGAGTTGGTGCGTTGGAACAGAGGCTCGAATGTGGCACTGACCGACTTGCACTGGTTGTCAACTTAGAGCGGCCACATGTCCCGCGCCGCCAGCTGCGTCGAGTTCCAGAGAGTCAGGAGCGGCGTCGCCTACGTGTAGAGGAGGCGGGAAGCGGCGCTGTCTTGGGGGTGCACGTGATGGCTGCGGCTTTCAGAGTCGTTGGTCGTCGCGTTCACCGATTGATACGACACGGCCATGACAAATCGTAAAGGGGCTCTTTGGGTTAATTCCAGCATGCAGCCACGGACCCGTCCATGGGCGATGTGCGACGGGACGATGACATCGCACATTTCAAATGCGGTGGAGTAAACTGAATGTGTGCGCCGGCGAGTGCAAGGAAGGGTCGACTCGACGACGGCCCAAACCCCAGCCAAAGGGGGGAGGGACAGAGGGACTCTTGCCGATCCATTCCAAGTGGGACCAGGGGTACCTGGTTTTGTGACTGTGCTCCGTGCTGGCTAACTCATCATGGACGGTGGTGGCTCGACCTGGAGCGTGCGACGAATCTGCACGTGGATGGCGGGCGATGGATTGCTCACGGTGGCCCGGACTATTGTGCCACTTGCGGCCGATGTTATGCTTAATCTGGTCAAGAATTTGGATGACGTGGCAATACTGACAGTGCCCGACTTTTTAACATCGAATGATATGCCAAATCGTTTTCGAGTTCGAGAAGTATACAAATAGCAAGTGTAAACAAAACTTTGTGAATTTATCTTCATTAAGTAAGTACACTGTTCGAAGGGTTTGACATCAAAGTGGATGTACATCAAAAAAGCTCGCCCACCTCCACGCTTTACTATCACGATCGAGCTGATGTATCCTCGTCGGAATCTAAAGCATCCATTGTCACCAAATGATCGTACAGCTTCTGCAACTTATCCTCTGCTGCTTTAATGTAGCTTTTGATGGTGTACTTGGCTTCGATACTTTAAACGCCTCGTTGCTGTCGGGCACTGTGCGAGTTGTGTGGAGGTAAGACCTTTCGTTGGAAAGAGCGCGCACAACCAGAAGGGATACGCGCACACAACCCATCTTTTTTTTTGCCGACCCAGAATCGAGCCCTTGCGGGTCCTGTGGTGCCCAACTGGTCGAGCTGCTGCGACATAGCCTAGTGACTGTCGTACGGTGGAGGTGCTTGCATCGACCAGGGCCGTTGCGTGGACGCACGATAGATGCACAAGTCCGGCATCGCCGAGCTGCAATGGTTGAAGCAAACGGAGGAAGCAGGTCAAAGTTCACTGTGCAGTTGCCGCCGCCTCCTCTCCAGTTGTGTCTCCCTGGTTTCTCTGACGGCGACGAATCGTACCAAACCTTGGAACGCAGAAAGGTTGCAAGAGCATGATATACAAATCGGCGTCAGCGACCAACCATCACCGCCATATCCTTGTCCCGAAACGCGACAAATCGAGCCATCGCCGCCAAGTGACGCCTGTGCGACACATCGACGTTGGCCATGGTCTGCGGCAACTCTTCGACCGTTCTGTTCTTGTCACTTTACTCTGGCAAACGACACCTGTAAGCCTGACAAGGAAAATCGCTTCCTTAGGACCGTCAGAGATGCGGTCGCCGTTTACTGGGACTTGCATTCAACGTGCAAACCTCTCCTTTGAATCTTCCAGCACCCGACCCCATATGTCATCTTACGATTTAGCACAGTCCTGTGTCTTTATTAAACAATCGCAACCCCC